ACCAAATTAGTTCTGATTTTAGAGCCCAAAATTTTATTTTTATTTCTTCAGTGGACAGGGGCACAGAAAAGGCAAGTTAAAAACCCTGAGGGAAGACCAAATTCTAGAGTCTACTTTACTTTTCCTTTGAAATAAGGGAAAGGCCACATTTCTTCACAGGTCTTGGGCAACAGAAGTTCTACTACTACAGCAGTTATACAGCCCATGTTCCTACTCAAGCCTTCTACATATTAAGTCAGCATTACATTAAAGCCATTAATAATTCTGAAAAAAATTCTCAGCATCAACCCTAGGAGTCATTTTGAAAACAAAGTTTCTCACCACCATTTTTTTCGCTTTGCTTTTGGTTTCTCTTAAACTAAAGGAAAGACTATTTATGCTTGAATTAATGAACTCCTACACACTTTTCTTGTTTAACAGTTTAACTTTCCCAACACACATACAGTGGTGTAGCCAAGCATTTCATGCTATTTCAAGCCACTGGAATCTTTCACGTATTTCTGGTAAAGTTTGCTACCACGGGAAAGTTAATACTTACATAGTATAATAAAAGAACACTTTAAAGCCAGTTAAGTGACAGTATCCAATGAGATTTTTTTAATAGTAAGTTTGGTCAAGGCAGCAGAAGCAGGAAGAATGGGCTGAAATTTCAGGAACAGTCAATGTCCTCAAATATTGGATCAGTTATTCAAAGCAAATGACTGAGTACCGGAAAATATCAAATTAATGGATAATAAAACCAGACCCTCGAAGTCAAATAGAAACAATTGCCAACGTCCAAGTGTAGTTTTATGAAGCTGCAATTTTTCATAAGGTTAAACACTTATGATTATTTATTTACAATATAATGAGGTGTCTAGCACAGATGGGTAAGAGAAGATCTGCTGTACAGTCCTACGGTAACAGCCTGTAAGCTTTAGAAGAGATCACCTTTACAAAATATTCTTGATTTTAAACCTTACAATTTGAAACAGATTTGCCAACCACTTCTCTTAAGGTTTGACAAATTTCAATGTTATTTACATTTTACTAACCAAATAAAAGAAAAGTAACATTAGAAGAGTTCGACAAACATCTGGTTAAGCTTCTATGCCAGCTACAAGGCATATCACACATTTAGGAAAGCATGTTTTGGAATGAGATGGCTGTACGATATTGATGTTTGTGCTTCATTTTTATTCTAACACTACAGATCAAATTTTCAGCAACACAATTACCCATGAGATGTAATAAAATGCTTGAGCACTGTACAAGTTTGACAAAACCTTCAACTTTAATCTCCAAGATTCATAAGTGCTACCAAGATTAAAATTAAGCAGCTTAGTCTCTTGCAATCTTGCTAGTTATGCTAAAGTCCTACATACTGTACAGAAGCAAACTTTAATAACTTTTCTGAAACATCACAGTCCAAACTTAACACCATGAACAAAACATTACTGATCAAATGGACAGCAAATGAGCCTTCAGCTGATACACGCGAGTCAGGATCTGTATAGAAAGGAGTGTAAGATCTAGACAATAACAAACTACAGAGAAAACTACTTTAAGCTAGCAATCTACCCCACTACCACTAAAACACATTCCCAAAAGGATGAAGCAGCACACACTTGCAGTGTTTCATCAATTAAGACCTCCAAACATATTACAATTAAGCTACAGAAACCCTCCCACTCCCAAGCGCTCTATGTACTCACCATCTGCAGGATTGCACCATATAAGCGCAGGAGAACTTTCCGTGGTTCATCTGCAACTGTCTCAATGGTATCAGGTAGTGAGCACTGAAACAGCATGTTGCTGAGTCCACCTCTGTCAAGAGAAAGGTAAGTTTATCAGCTAACTTGGATGAGCATACATGCTTCGTTTTCTACAAATTAGAGGTGCACTAATCATCCTTTTAGTATGATTAACTGATCTACTCTAACACAAGAAGCAATCTTCCAACAGTACCAGTAACTCATAAGGCTTCAATAAAAAAAATTGGCAGCTTCATGCTTCTTCATGTATAGTTCACCATCAAGACCTATTGATCCAAATTACAGCTCAAGCTATGAACAAACTGATGTAAAATGCAACAGGCAACTAAGATAAGATGTAGACTTCTGTTAACTTATTATTTTCAGGACTTCTAGAAAGTGATGCTGGAGGCTTGTCAGATATACTTGGTTGCACAAACAAGCAAGAAGACAGCAGAATAAGCTTAAAACAATGCAGTGAGTATAAAACCCTAAGTTTGAATTAAGAGCTGGTATCACTGGGACGGCAGCTACAAAGATTAGCTACGAAGATTTAACCTGAATACCTGTGCTACAGCATTGCTGATGAAAGTCTTACTTATGCTATCATTCTTAGGGACTCGCTTTCAATTTTGAAATTTAAAATAAAGAACTGCTTTAACTGTAAAGAATTAGTTCATGTGTTTGTCAAAACTAAAGTCACCCTCAGAATCTTATCAGGTAAGACATAAACTAGGGAGTTCTTTGCTTCAATTATTCAGGGGTTATACAAGCACGTTGGCTTTTCATATAATTACTGTTTTACAACAGTGTTCTTACAGGACAAAGTGACAGCACTTGTTTTCTACAGGTTTATCAAAGTAGATAGATACTAGATTAGAGAAGCTAAGTTTCTTGATTTCTAGTAGCTCACTAAGAACACCAGTCTACTCAACCCACATTTTCTTTACTACATTGTCTTTCTGCATCCTCTTCATTATCAATACGTTCATTAAGAAGTTTTCAAATTTCCCTTCTGCAATAGATTTTCCCTATTACTTCTTCCTCTACTATAAGAGGAAAAAGTACTGAAACTTCTGGTTTACTTGCAACACAGAAATGCAAATCAGCTCTACTGAAAAAACTTGTCTGTCTCACCATTAAAGAATGAACTTTCAAAAACAGATACAATCCAAATATAGTAACTAGCAGTAAAGGGATGAGGTAGCACAGATTTAAAAAGTAAGTAATTTTACTTGTAGCATGCTACATAACTTACTGCAGTAACTCTAGAATTTAAATAGTAGTACCTCTGTCATGTTGTGATTTCCTTCACAGAGTAATGCAGTTTTTCATAACACCCAAAACACAAGTATTTAATATTACCTTGCAGTGAGCTTTGATTCCAGGAATCCATGGCAGATCCAAAATGCAGTGGCTAAAATGCAGTTCTTAGTCCCGACCTGACACTCCTCTCAATGCTTTTTCAAATATTTTTCTGGGTTCTCTTACAATGCAGTGGGGAAGTAGTAAAGACTTTCTGGAGAAAAAGGCTACCGAGAAGTACATGACCTGTATGTATTTACTGAGAGGTGATACAGAGAAGAAGGGCTGGCCTACGTATCCAAAGTCAACAACTGAGAAAGAAATCTCAAGAAAATAAGGTAAAACAGCAGCTGCACAATATGCTCAAGAAAGAAGACAGATGAGAACCAGGTGGCTTGGCAGGCATCCAAAAAAGGATGTTTAGAGACAAGAGAAATGAAGTAACTTTGAACCATGAAGGTGAACAGGTAGAAAAAACAGACAGATGGAAAGTATAACAAACGAAGAGCAAAGCCGGCCTATTCAGATGCAATCACAACATTGGTTAGTTATACCAACTACATTTCCAGCTTCATTTAAACTGTGCTAGACAGATTTTTTGAAAAACATTTGCCACCTTTTCTAAGCCTCTGATGTAGACCTTGGTGAAAATATCAATACTTAAAGAGAAGAATTAAACACATTGAAACCCACTCTTTAAAGAATACCGGACTAGAGCTCAAAATCCTGTACAAACAGTTATGTTACTTATTTAAACACATGCTCAGCCTTCATACAGTGCATGAAAGCCTAGAAACTTCTGTTTTATACCTCTCCAGCCAAACAGGAGTGTCTTACTGAGGCTGAACTCCATTAAACAGAAATTTCACTATAGTCTTATGCACTTAAGACCTCAAAAGTTACCTCTAATCAAGGAAACCCATACAGGAGTCTAATAAAAGGTATTGTTCTCCTGAAAGGTCAGTCGACTCAGCAGCTTAAGGGTCAAAAGGGCATATCTCACTCATACAGATAAAGCCACCAGTTAGTCTACTGCTACAAATTACTTAAAGGTAATCCCTTCCAAAAAGGGTCACCTATTTTCAAAGCTTCCCATAGCTTTCCCAAATCACAGCCACAGCAGTTAGATGTGCTTATATATTTGCATTCTGATTAGATGCGAATCTACTTCTTTGCTCTCAAACAATAAAGACTGGACCCCTTCATCTTATGATACCAAGCACTTAACAGCTGTTCATGAACATCATTTGCAGTTAAAATGGCAATACTGACAGACACATTGGAGAAGGCACACTGAGTGCTTGACTTTTGTGAAACTAGAATCAGCAAACTAGTATGATGCTGCATTCTCCGTAGATAAAAGTGGTGAAAAGGCTTTTGCCAAAGTCAATGCAACTGCCAATTAGCATGGTTTTACACATTCTTAAGTTTCAGCCTATCCTCTCTTCCTCCCAATCTGGAAAGCATCAAGCCATGTTGAAGTGCTGTCTCAGAGGGGAAGTTTCCAAGAAATGCAAGAATAACTGTGCTAAAACCTAAGGCTTTAGAAAATAAATACCAAAATCAGCAGTACACACTAATAAGGATGATAACAGAATTAAGCAAGTCAGATTACATACATATTATCAGACTAATCTACTGTCTAGGAACAGTATCAGTCTTCTAAAAACTCTCTCCCTTCATAAACTTATTACGATCATGTCAAGTGAGGAGAAATGATCTAAAATACAAATACTACCTGCACTGGCTTTCAACGGGTTGCTCATTTTTAATAAGGCTTTTAAAATACATTTAGAAATGAGCATGATGGATTTTGATTATATTTTTATATATCAGAGCTTTGTCAACAGTTTATGCTCTCTTAGCTAACTGGGGGTAGATTTGCATGTATTTCGTGTATCAACAAAAGTAGAAACACTAGGAAAGCAAACTCAGGACTCAAGGGGAGAAACTGATAACCATATCCTTTGAAACTGTATGTGACTCTACATTTGATCAGGTAGAAGGATCAAGCACTAAGACACTAGACAAGCAGTCTGTAAAAATGAAACTCTGAACTAACATCGGTTTAACTAGCATACAGGATGGATAGAAAAGAGACTAATTCCACAAAGAATGCAAGGATCTGAAACACATTACCTATGGCTTCTAGAACATCCCCAATTTACACATTTCTGCTGCCAACATGCCGAGTCACAAGTACTGGCTCCTATATATGCTAAAAGATGATTCATATCATCGATACACCGCATTTACCTGCTAACTTCTGAATTTCAGAACGGTCAGGGCCACGCCAAAAAAGGCACTTTTTTTCAGGAGGGAGCTCCGTACTCGGTGCGGCCGTTTCTACCAGCTCCATCGCTTTTACCGTCAAGGTCCAGGGCCCCTCCCCCGGCTCAGGGCCGAGGTGCTGCCGTCGCGCTGCAATACCAGCCACCTCGCACCACCACCCTCTCCTGGGCGGGGGG